TTTTTTAAAACATGAAATTTATATATATTTTTGTAATTTCACTACATGTTCTCAACAATTTTCCATTTAAAAATGTTACATTTTTATGACTGTAAATATTTTTCTTTCTAAAAGTAGATACAACTAGTGATCATTTACAGAAAAAGGAACATTGGTTCTGTAATTTTACATGGATTTGCTTGTTAAAAGAGTGCTATCTTGTATACTGACAGATGTTTTTGCAACAAAAATGGTGAATGGTCTGCATACTGTATCAATTTATATGATAAAACCCAATTAATATGGCACTTTGCTCATATATTTAATACTATGACATCACTATATTGTTTTTACACATGAAAGTATTCGTCATTAAACATTAAAAAGGAAAAGACATCACATGTCTTAATGTAAAATCAAGGCTAGAATGTTAAATGTGGACTGAATAGTCATTGAATTGTTGGTGTGTTTTCTCTTACTGTGTAATTTTGATGCTCTTCAATAACAAAAGAATGTAATCATTTATAAACAGTAGATCAAGTGTTGACATTATGCACATTATTGAAATGTATATGCATATCTATCTGGCTGTCTCCAAATCCTCCAAAGTCTATCCATGTATTTATCCAGTTCTTTTTTAGTTGTTTGTTGTTGCAGTAAACCCTATAGCTGTTGACATGCTGAGTTATATAATGTCACGTGCAGTCGACAGATGCAGTCGATTCTGGTGAATGATCCGTTGATGGCACCGGTGATCTATGACGGCCTGTTTGCCAGCTGCTTGAGTTACTGCCACTGATGCATTTTACTCTTTACTTCTTCTTCTTGTTTTTTTGGTTTTTTTTTCCTTATTCTCTGCTTGTATTCGCAGCACCGCTGACTACTGGTGGTGGATCCCGGTGGCGGGGCCCATGGTGGGAGGTGTGGTCGCGGCCGTCATCTACTACCTGCTCATCGAGCTGCACCACCCCCACGAGGAGCAGGAGAAGCCCCACGAGGAGGAAGAGGAGGAGGAAGACGAAGAGGACGAGGACAGCAGTCTGAAGGACAAATACGAGATGATCACCATGAGTTAAAAAGACTTTAACCTCCGGGACTGAAGATGAAGAAGGCCCAGCACAGCTTCCATCTGTGAGGACAGGCTCCCTGTGTCAGTGTGCTCTTGTTAATAGCAACATAGGCTGTAGTTACACTTCTGATTGACTTCATGCTGTGCAGAGACAAGCCCAGTGCTGACCAAAACCTCCACAGGTTCAAACAGAGTAGAATTATTCATAATTAAAAGTAAACATATTTATATAGGACCTTTAAAAACACAGCTCACCAACTGCTTTGACACACAAACCAAAAACAAGATAAGACAATATAGCAACAAGAAGCTGCACAGTGAGGCCAAAGTAAAGCAGGAAACGGTCGACAAACTGCTGCTAACAGAAAACACGCATCTAGTTGCACCACACTTCTTCAATAGTGAACCAATCCGTTACACAAACACTGGGCTGTCTCCTCTGTAATTTAACTTTTGTATGTTTCAAACACATGAATTCTCAGTCCTGTGTATTTCACACTGTTACCTATACTGCATATATGTGTTGTAAATAATGAATTGTATATTTAGAGAGATTCTAATTCTTTTCCACATATTGATAAAGGAGTAATAGTTGTACATGCATGCCAGTCTCCTTTTAGCTTTGGTCCCTTCTTCCTCAGTGGTTGTGTTGATAATATGTGTATATTCACTTACTGTTCTTTTTTTTGTTTTACTTGTTTTTTTTGCAAACCACAGAGAATTCTTCTGTCTATTGTTGATTTCTTTTACTCTTGTCTTGTTTGTCTACATTAAAATTTCTATAAATATCAGTTTCTGAGGACACTTTATTTCACTGCTGCGTTTCCTCGCTGATAACTACAGTTTGACATTTATGCACACAAAACGCAGCAAGACAGATTTGTTGGCGTAAATTTCCTCGTAAATGCCCGTATACAGTATTCCATTGAATGCTGTGTATACTTTAATAGTCTATATGATAAAGTGTGAGAAGACAGTAATAGTAGACTGGTGTATTCATGAGTCTCAGGCCGAACACTTTGAGCAATAAGAGATGGATCATTTGTGTTTGGTTGTCAGGACTGCAGAGGATGATGACGCCTCACAGTGTCAGCTCAGAGCATTATGCGGTAAAATATTTCCTATATGAGCTTATCACTCTGGATAATGTTTCTGAGAACAGATCGATGGCGTGAGTCACAGTCAGAAGTCTGGTTTTTACTTCTGGTTGGAACCTCAGGTGGTGATTCCACTGTTGGATGCAAAAGGAGAGAGGTTACTGAATTCAAATCTGCACTTTAAGGTCACATAGCATCAACAGACATTTTCATTTATCAGGTTACAAATTCCTCTACACCTTGTCCCTCCTAATAAAAAATGTAGGTACACAAATGGTTTCCACTTGAAAGGTTTAACTGTTAGACACAAGATGCCTCCAACTACACTGGAAAGTCCACTATATGTGCATTTCAGTTGTTAAATGTCACACTCACACAGTAAGCTGCACATTATTACTTTTGAGAACTTGCAAATGCCAGTGTGCATCTTTCTAGTCTGCATTTTGGACCATAAATTGTTTCCAACCATGTGACGCCTCAAAATTACGCTTGTAGGCGAGCACAGAGACACTTTCCCTCTGCAGCAGATCAATGTGGAAACATCCCATTAGTGAAACAATGTGAGGATCTGAGCAAAGCAGCAATAAGCAGCACTTTTGAAGTGGAGATGGGACTGCAAATATAAATTATCCTTCAATATTTATCAGGAAAAATACACTTAAAGTTTGTTAAAGTATTCTTTTAGAAAACCGTACATGATTATTTTTGCAGATGCGTTGATGTGGAAGCATCATTTTATGGTTGTAGATAAATACTTTCTATACTTTTGGGGCTTCAGTCTGTTATGAACCTCACATTTTTGTGAATGATTATTTAATTTGTGTATCTTAATCTGCAAAATAGCTGGTGATAGCTGCCAGATATGTGTGTCTGGTACAACAACAGTCTGTAATGTAGTGGTGTAAACGTATGATTAGAATAAAACAGACATAAGCAGAGTTCAGGTACTTTGGAATTGTACTTGAGTAAATTTACACAGGAATGTTCTACCGCTGTCTAAGGGTCAGACAGTATTCTAAACTCCAGGATTAGAAGTTATGATCAACACAAATCCACTGTTTAACATTCATGTTGGGTAAGTTTCAGAGACACGTTGATGCTCCAGCAGAGCAGCAGCAATAATCAAGCAGCAAATAGCATCAAAGTAGCAGCAGAAGAATCCTCCACATCCTCACCTCTGAGCCGAGAGTGACGCCAACAGCTGCAGGGAGGGTTTATCTAACAGCAGCCCGAGGGCCAGAAGCAGAGATCACATTATGGTTCACGTCAGTTTGTCATGTATACGGTCCGTGACCGCATGCATAGATCAGAGGGGACGATCAGTCGGTATGGACTGGCGGGCCGGCTCGATAACAATACATGTGCAGGTGCATGTGAGTCTTGCTTCACCTCGGACAGGCTTTGAATAATGCAGGATGATGTTACTGTGCTGATTCAGCCTGGCTTTGAAGAAGCACTGACAGGCTGCTCAGCATTAAGGGACAGACTTCTGAGAACTGACTCTATAAAAATGCATTTTTCCTTCCCGCTCTGAGATCACATGGGCACGCCAAATAAGTTCAGTATGAAGAATGCTGTTTATCCAAAGCAGCTTCAAACTGACAGACTCATCTTGAGGAAGTGTCTGCTCATCTTTGCAGAATTTTGGGGGGCAAGTTGTTTACAGCAATAGATTCTCCTAATGAGTCATGTTATTATTTTTTGTTTTAGAGAAGCAGGCATGTTATCATGAGATGTACAATTTAAATCTGATTAAACCTCCTCTGAACGGAGGAAACTCCACTGACGACAGGACAATGAACTGGGAGTTATTTCTATGCTTCCAGTGTATTTCCATTCTTTGTTTGGCAGTCCTCGTGGTGATAGAGGGTTCAGTTCAGTGCGGGTGACACTCAGCAGCCCGGTGCCACTTTTACAATCATGCTTTGTCACTGAAAAGAGAGACAAAAGGTGCTGCTGGCTGATCTGTGGTGACATCAGCTCCTTGTAGAGAGCTGCAGCTCTAAATGCAGATCATTGATAACATCCTCTGTGTGTGGACGTCGTTTTGAACCCGTATACGTGTGGGGAGAGTTCTGGGAAAATAGATTATAGCAACAGTAATACCATCAATTTGAACCCACTGGAGAACAACTGGCTTCATCCAGACAACGCTGAAGCTAAACTGCGGTTGTGGGTGACTGTTGGTTCATGTCACACCCAGCGACTGCAGCTGAGGATCCGCATTGAAAATCAATACCAGGTCACATTCCGCTGCATGAGCAAGTGCTCCAGAATCCGACATACACTTCCCCATGGTCGTTACATCACTGAACACACTCATGAGGGAAAGTCGTCAATATGTGTAGGCAATGAGTAATAAAGTGTGAAACAGACATGTGGGGGACAAGCAGGCACGGCGGCTGAGGAAAATACAAGTTTCTAACCTGCTATATTTACTTTAAACAAGTTCTGGTACATCTGAGGCAGCACAACATGCGGAGTTTGAAGTTGTAAAGCTTCTCTGGAGAGAAAACATAAGAGAAGTTGTCTGTGTTGTTGGTGTTTGTGACTCACCAGCTGCTTTCAAAACTTCTGACCCCGACATGCCACCTAAAGCTGCTGCTCCCTCTGCTGTGAACGCTCCTCTACTGCATTCACACGCCCAGCGAGGCTCAGAGATGTCAAGGTGCTTCTTTTAGAGACCAGCGATAGAGGAATCACAAGCAAACATCAGATTTTTTTTCAGTTCTTTATCCTACTTGTCATCTGAATATAATGCTTTACATTCTGGGACACTTTTAAAAAGTCTTTGCACAAAGGAGGATGTAAGGAATGAGAGATCCTGTGATTAAAACACCAGAATGCAGCGTATAGGATGGATTCTATACTCAGTGTTAATAATATGTGACACCTTTTTGAGTGATTAAAAAAAATAAAAAGTCCATCTTTTACAGAAATACATAAAACAAGCTGAAACGTGGATTTTCATGAATTAAGTTTCAACGTTTCGAGAATGACTTATCTGTGAAGTTGGAGGGAAAAATGGAAGGTACAAAAAATAAAATAAAAATGAAAATAAAAGCATCTATACAAGAACATCACAGCTTTACTGAGGTACACTTTCAGATCATCTTCAAGCATTGGCAGCAGAAAATTCAGATAGATGTTAACAATAGCAGTCGAAAGAAGACTAAAAGTTTGCCTCAATAAATTAATTTTGCTGAGATAAAATGTGCAGCCGTTTCTATTTCATTCTTTAAACAGTGAACTTATTTTGTGATACAGATCAATTAATCATTTTACAGTATCATTTTCAAAGTTCTTTTCTTGCCTTTAACCTCTTGAGACCTGAGTTCTTGTTTAATATGCTTTTTTAAAAATTACTATTTACCATTTTTTTGTAGGAATAAAAAATAAAAATACAAAGTAAATAAAAATATATTTAAAAAATAAATAATAATTTTAAAAAATCATAATAAAATAATAAAAATAAAAACAAATAAAACAATTAACTACTGTGACAATATTACCCAAAATGTGATGTCCATGCATGTGGACTCCAGGTCTTAAGAGGTTAATGATAAAATAATGAAAAGAAAAATATCAGAAGCTACAACCTGTCCCATCTGTGATCCCCCCAAAAAAGAGATTTGTAGACACGAAACAAATATTGCAACTAAACCAGTTGTTAGGTTCTGCGTTGAACCTTTTAAACCTCTGATTTAGAAGCGAAACTTCATTGAAACTGCATGAATAAAAGAAGGAAACACAGTCGGTGCAAAATTAATTTATGAGGCAAATTAGAAATCAGAGACTAATAACCTTGAAGCACCAACTCAACAAGATAATGACGGTGTTCATGCTTGAAGGTTTTTGCCTCAATAGATGACACAGATTGGACTGTTTCTTCTGCTAAAGAATGTCCAACAAGCTTTTAGTCTGGAAGGCAGTGATCATGTTAGAGACACAAAAAGAATCAAAATTGCTGCTCACACTGAAATCCTACACTTCCCACGATGCACCTTTTTAACGTATTTTCCGAGACCCCTTCTGCCTGTGTAACATCTACATCTTCTAAACATCACAACGCCGGTTTAAATATCTCTCTGTGCCTGAACGTAAAAAGCCAAAGATCGCACACATCACAGACAGTAAACAGGGGTCTATTTTATTTTGAACGAGTCTTTTAATTAATGCATTTCAAGTACTCCAAAAATTACATCTCTTTGCACA